AGCCCAATCTGTCCCGGTTCCTTGGCGAAACGTGATTAAAAAGAATATGGCAATACTGTTAGATGAGAGATATTATCTCATCTAGATGTGACATAGTCGGACCCTTAAGGAAGAGACAAAGGGTTAGCATAAATAAAGTCACGGAAGTTCAAAAGAATGAAAATAAAAAGGAATTGGGCTATGTCACCAAGGTGATTACTGCGCATGGGCTAGCGATGCACTTGCAGCTTTTAATGGAAAATAATCCGTAGCAAATTAAGCAGCGGCCGAACAAGAAGGAAAACCCTAATCAGACATGATCAAATTAATCAAAGTGGCTCCATCGTCTTGACGTAGGCAAACGTCCGGTAGTTGTCAAAGGAGTAGCCTCCCATGTCAACGAGCGACATCCCCTGGTCGCCGTTGCCGACGCGCACCACACCGCGGCCGTCGTCGCACCGGAGCCTCCATCCCAACGGCGGCGCATCTTTCGGCCAGTGGGCGTAGAAGGACGACCTGTAGCGCACCGTGAGGACGCACCCGCCTGTGTACGCAAAGTGAGGCACTGGGACATGGTGCCCGACAACGTACCGGTGGATCCACCCCTGTCCCTTCTCCAGAACCCACGCCTCGGCCGACATGGAGCCACGGGTGACCACGCCCAGCCTCCCGCGCACCTCCGTCAGGTGGTAGCGCATGTGTCCGGGCGGCAGTGAGGGCAGCGGCGGGGCGGCGGGAGCGACAACGTGCTCGTCGTCTAGGTCGAACGCCGCCACCTTCCGGGTGCCGCTGGGCGTGACCCAGAGCCAGTAGGTCATGCTGTCATGCACGGGCACCTCCCGCCACGTGGCCTCCCCGAGCGTGAGCAAGTGGACGGCGTCGAACTCGCAGACCCGCTCGTAGCTGCACGGGACATGCACCACCTTGTACTTGCCCGTCGTCGGATGGTACGCGAAGCTGTAGGCCTCGTGCCATGCCTTGGTCTCGCTCCGCTTTGTCTGTGTGGTGCGCCCGACGAGCTGTGCCGCGCACGGCAGCGCCGGGACAGCGAGAGTCTCGTCGGTGGCCGGGTTGACGACCGTGACGGCGCCGCCGGCGCGCTTCTCGTTGTCGCAGAGGCGGAGCAGGCCGTTGCACGTGCCGACCAGCTGCACCGAGCTATCGCTGTATGTGCGTTTCGCGGCGTTCTTCCACAGCGGCTTGCAGCTCCCCGCGGCGGCCGCCGATGAAGACAGGTCGTCGATGATGTACGCGATGCCGCTTCTGGGGTCCCAGATGAGGGGGCTGGCGCGGCTCTGCATCTCGGTGGTGCGGCTGTTGACGACGTCACGCCAGTGACGGCAGACGAGACGTGCCCGGAGCCGGGAGCTCGGCGGCAGCCGCCGCAGGATGTCCGCCAACACGTCCGTGGAGAAGTAGCGTTCCATGGATTCTCTTTCTTGTTGGATGGGATCTGTCAGTAAGTTTGTTGTTGATCGATGTCCTTATTTTTAGTCGGGGATTACGTACGTAGCTGCCAAGTTTGTTTGAGTAGAACCCGTTACGGGAAGAGGTCTGCTCGTATACTTTCCCGGAAGTTTTTATGAGACCTTCTTTTTTACAATCGTTTTCCTCACCCTTTTATGAGACCTCCTGTTCGACGCCCGCACAGGGGCTAGCGCATTGGCCCAGCCCAATAAGAATCACTATACTGGACCACAGAAGACGTCTACTGTAGCAACATGTACGTGTACTCTAGCTGTTTGTTCTTGGATCCCTAAAAGAAAAGCTACTCGTTTTTGGTCATGTTTTTTCTGGTTTTTATTTTTGGCAATTCTACTTTTTAGCTGGGGCTTTCTTCTTGGATGGGGTCTGTCAAAGTTTGTTGTTGATGTCCTTCTTTTTAACTGGGGCTTACGTAGCTGCCAAGTTTGAGTAGAGTTCGTTACGGGAATTCGTGTGAAGAGTAAAACCTACTCCTGGTTTGGTGGATTGGTGATGTGTTTGAGCCCTGCGTTTACAAGAGCGCAACCTTGCCGGCGAAGTGCTCGAGAGGTGCAGCTAGCTACTGTAAATGGGCAGGGTGTCGACCTTTGCAAAGGTATCCATTGCCCTCCTTTTATAGATGAAAGGGGCTACCGTAGTGGCAAAATGATAATTACATTGGGTAGTAGTGACTACAGTGCTATCATACCTAACCCTGTATATGACAAGAGCATTAAATACACTGTTAGGTGTCACGCTGGGGTGAATGCCGGCAAGGGAGCACTGGTCCACCTGTACCGTCATCCCAGCTACCTTTTATTATCGTGACACGGCATCAGGACAGGTGTCTGTAAAGTTGATCTTCAAACGACGAACTGGCATCTGCCCTCGACAAGTTTCACCTAACCGCATGCGCGCTTGCCATATGTGGGCAAGCTTCTCATAGGCTACCGAGCTGGAGCGATGGAGGGAGCTTGTCGGTCTTGTGCTTTCCGGCCCAAACCTTGCCGACTTGAAGCTTGTCGGCTTTTCAATACTTCCTTAGTGCTTCGCGATGACCTACATGGAGGTCTTCTTCATGGTTTTTATCTATCAAGTCTTGAGTGCTTGGCATAAGTCCGTCTTCTGCCAAGCCCTTACCGGCGAGGAGGCTACGACTGTCTGTGCATTGTCAAACACCCATGTTCAATACACCAACAAATGACATCTCTTAAAAAATGGCACCTATTAATAAAAAGTAGAAAATGCCATCTCTTAATATAAAAATATCTCTTAAATAAAAAGTGTCATCTCTTAATAAACAATAGAAAAATGACATCTGTTAATAACCAAAAATGCCATCTATTAATATAGAAAATACCAGAAAAGCCATCTATTAGTAAAAAAATGTCATCTATTAATAGAAAAATGGCATATCTTAATAACCAAAAATGTGATCCCTTAATATAGAAAATGGCATCCCGTAATATAAGAAATGCCATCTTTTAATATTAAAATGTCATATCTTAGTAAAATGAAAAATGCCACTTCTTAATAGAAAATGCCAATTCTTATTATTATTTTTAAATGCCATGTAACGCTAGTTTTGTTTTGTTTTAAACTACAATGTGAAAATTTCAAACAAAAAATGTCATCTGCTGAACAATGGGGGAGCCTGGGATCTAGGTCTCCAGCAAACTGCGCTGTGATGTGGTGTTTTGATTCTCTAATACATACTCCCTCCGTCCGGAAATACTTGTCATTAAAATGAATAAAAAGAAATGTATCTAGATGTATTTTAGTTCTAGATACATTCCTTTTTGTCTACTTTGATGACAAGTATTTCCGGACGGAAAGAGTACCTCAGATCGGGGGTATATCCCTCAAAAAAAGATCGGGGGTATAACCTCCAGCTAGCGAGCGGCTGTCATCCGTCTGATCCAGCGCACGCTCGACGTCGCCACCTGCATGCACGTTGGATCAATCGGTGTCGGTGGGATCATGATGCGTCGCACGTCTCTCAACGTTCGCCAGCGATCACGATCCTTATTGTTAGATCTAAACTTGGTCAACGAGCCAGCATGTGACCGAGTGCACCATCAAATTAGAAATGATAATGCTGGTGTCTATTTTTATTTGGGAGACGCGAGACGCTTATTGTCATTGGCTCAGTCAGAGAGAGACGTGGTGTCCATTTTTATTCTGAAGGAAGAACAATTATTTCTTTCCGCAAAAAAAAAAAGAAGAACAATTATTTCTTCCTAGTCTAATCCCAACCTCTAATGTGCCCCGTCGTGTCCTGCTCCCCTCCCCGGTAGCTAGCTCTCCCGTAGGCCATCTCTCCGCCCGTGACCACCACCAAGAGGCGTCCCCGGCAGCGATCAACGACGGCGGCAGGGACGCTTCCCGACGTCTCAACTCTCAAGGTGAGTCTTCTCCACTAATTACTCCCCTCCTCTTCCTCCTTCATTTCTCTGATTTATCTTTCCTCTTCAGTTCGAACAGACCGAGGGGAATTCCGTGACAAGTAACCCGCCCACATCCATCTAGATCCTTCCTACCCTCCACCAACAACCATGCCGCCGCCTCCGACTCCAGCGACGAGGCCTGCACCGACGCTGCCGGACGAGCTTATCGAGGAGGTCTTCCTCCGCCTCCCACCGGACGAGCCCTCGAGCCTCGTGCGTGCCTCCCTGGCCAGCAGTTTTTGGCTCAGCCTCCTCACCGGAACTAGCTTCTCCGTTCGCTACCGAGAGTTCCATGATGCTCCCCCCATGTTGGGCTTCTTTTATTCCTGGCTCCACGACGACCGCCCCGACGACGAAGGAGATCCCCCCGTCCAACGGTTTGCCTTCACCACGAAATTCGGCGCACGCATTCCCGAGGTTGAGGAATGGGACGACTATGAAGCATTGGACTGCCGCCATGGCCGCGTTCTCTTTGAAAACCCCTTTGGGTGTCCCGCCCCGCTCTTCGTTTGGGACCCCATGACAGGCTGCACGAGATACTTGGAGAAGCCCGATGGATGCTGGGGCGATGGGGCCACAGTGGTCTGTGCCGTGAGCGGCTGTGACCACCGCTTGTGTGACGGGGGGCCCGTCCGTGTGGTCTTTTTCATGACCGGTGATGGTGATGGTTGTGTTGCGCACGTGTCTGTCGCGTTGCTGGAGATGGATGATGCATGGAGCGAGAGCTCTGATCTTGATCTTGAGCTTGAGTGGACCCTGAGCCCTGGTCTTGAACTTGAAGCTACGCATGCATTCATTCCGGAAATAATGCCCCCTGTCCTCATCGAAGACGCACTCTACTTCATGCTTTCCATTGTTGATGGTGTTTGTGATATGGCTATTCTAAAGTACGACATGGCCTCTGATAGCTTGTCATTGATTGATCTACCGGACGTGCGCTCTAATGGCTTACCACTCAAAGACCATTCCTTTATCCCCATGGCTATGGGGGATGGCAATTTGGGGTTTGCACAAGTGGATGGCTTAACACTCAACCTATGGTCAAGCTCAATCCACACGGGTGCCGAGGGCCTTGCGTCATGGACTCAGCATATAATTGTCGATCTCAAGAACCTTCTCCCTATTCAGAATCCCGAGAAAAGTCTTAGGCTGATTGGATCCGTGGAAGGCAGTGATATAATTTTCATCACTACAGACCTTGGCATCTACCAGATTAGTCTCAAGTCCCTCAGGTGGAAGAAGCTATGGAAGAGCGAGAAGTTTAGTGCTTTGATTCCGTACATGAGTTTCTACAATCCACAAGGTATATTTATATGTCCGTTTCTTTTCTGATTTGGTAACAACTACCCTTAAATAATAAGCCCTCTGTCCCGAAGTAAGTGTCGCTCTTTTAGAATGGATGGAGTAATATATCAGTTAGCAAATAATTTTTAAAATGTTTAACCAGATGAAAATTTATATTTGATGTTTTTAATTTGTGATAATGTATGTAGGCTCAAGAAAACTTTGAGGGCTATGTAATATACTTGGATGTTACACCTAGTTATTCTCATGCCTACCTAATTGGCAATTTTATCATGCCATTCTTCTTTTTTGAATCACACTAATAAATCTACGTTTGCAGAGAGGATCAACCCCTATGATGAAGCTCATTGATGGCTTAGTATTGAATGTGGCCACTATCATCAATTGAAAAAATGACCACTTGAAGGGGCAACGTGGTCTCGTGATGAATATGCACTATTAATAGCTGGTTTGGTGCAATGGTGTTTGTTTTTTCATTTTGTTGGTAACTTTGTCGGCCAGCATAATAATTCCCGGTGTTAAGTGGCATGCCTAAGCGGGTGAAGGATTCACGGATTTACGGATGAACCTACTAGTTGTCACAGGATTTACGAATGGAGAGAGCCAACCGACTTTTATCTTTTTCCTGATAATTGAAATGTCATATCTTGTAATCCACCGGATACATTTCATTAAACCGGATGATATTCTTGCAAATAAGAGTTTGAAATGTATGCATTTAGTATTTTTCCTGATAATTGAAAGTTTTTCCTGATAATTGAAAGGGAGACGCTACGCGTCCGCCAGGTGATCCGTATGAAACATCCGCCACCTCGACGGCCTTTCGATGTACGCGCGCGCAGCCGTCCGATCTACTTCTGGTGCGCGGCTCGGTCTCCTCCCTCGACCCATTAATTCCTGAAACAACGGTCGAGTTGCGAAAACAAGCGTCTCGCGATCCATTCGATGCCTGACGCGAGCCGTTCAATACTCCTCTCTAATTTCCTGCAACGATACTCTTGTTGCAAGATCTGGTCTTCTCTGACTTCCTGCAACAAGACCTTGTTGCGAAACCTCATCTTCTACAATTTTCTGCAACAAGACCTTGTTGCGAAACCTCTTCTTCTTTAATTTTCTGCAACAAGACCCTTAGAAAAATTGCAAACAACGTCTCCCACCGCGTCTAATTTTCTGCGGCAACATTTTTCACGCGTCTAATTTTCTGCACATCTTTCACGCGTCTAATTTTCTACAACAAGATCCTTGTTGCAAAAACTGCAACAACATTTTCGGTTGCATCTAATTTTCTGCAACAAGATCCTTGTTTCAAAAATTAAAACAACAGCTCTGCCGCATCTAACTTTCTGTAACAGGACCCATGTTGCAAAATTAGCACGGCCATGGATGGGGAAGCGAGTGCAGCCATGGATGAGGGAGGCGAGCATGGCTGCCAGGGATGTAGAAGCACCGTTGTTGCAGAAAACTTGTAGCGGGAAACTGAGCTCAAGGAGGCGGCAGCCATGGCTGTCCACACCGGTGCTCCCCAAGCAGTAGGACGACGACGGACGCGGACACTGGTGCTCTCGGGGACGGCGGATGCGGCTCCAGATCTTGTTTCAGATGCGACAGAGGAGGAACTTAGGCAGGATGGAGGCAGGAGAAGAAGAGGAGGGGCATGGCTGATGGAGGCTTGACTATCGGCATGCCCACCGGCGACGATGCGTAGGTTGGGGATGAGCCAGAAGGGACGATTAGGATGTAGACCCGGGAAGGAGAAAAAGTGACGCACGAGCCAAGGAGGAGATAAGGTTGAGAAAGGGAAGGAGATAGGCTTGGCGTACCCTCGGCGCCACGTGTAGCGCGGAGAAGGCGGCGGACGCGGGTGGTGTTTTCAGCCGGTTGAAGGTAAGTTTTTTCCTAATTGAAATGACATATCTTCTAGATCAATTAATGTAGTTTCTATTCTACTCTTTTTCAACAAATGGGATGAAATTCATGCAAACAAGGCCGGATTTCATGTAAACATAACGGATTTCATACAAACACGGCGAATTGTCATTACATTTCGAACATTTAGAACAAAAAAAACGACCCGACCATAAACCTAACCTATAGCGGCGGCGCCCGGTGTCCAAGCCCGTGTCGTTCTCCATCCGTCGTCTCCATGAGCACCGAAGATAAAGTAAAGGAAGAGTAGAACACATGAGGTGGATGACCCCACATGGGACACCGGGGCCTGCCGCCTCCAGCGGCCTACTCATCCTCGGAGGAGTCTGCGACCTGTCCGTCGCTGGTGGATGAGGTCCACGAAGGAAATGGTGGCGACGGCGCTGTCGTCGTCGCATCGGGCTGCCTGATGGTTCGTCGGCGGCATGTAGAAGGCACGACTGTGGTTGTTCTCATCCGCGGTGGCATGGAGCTGCGCCTCGGCGGCAGCAGTTTCCTGGCGAGCAGCGGCTTCAACATGGACGGCATCATAGATGGCATGCTTCTCCGCGACGAAGTTGGGGTTCATCGCGGCCATGGCCTCCACGGCCTCCTCGCTTGCCCGCTCGTCCTAGATCTGGCCCTCCGTCGGCCAGTGCTGCTCCAGAAATAATGCATAAAAAACTACCCATCTGACTAAACATTCAAACTTTTAAATTGTTCCGCCAACTAGTATATTCATTCTTTAATAACTGTTCCAATTCACAAAAGAAAATGACATATAGATATACCCAGGCCTGTTCCAAATCACGGAGGCTACCTAATTCTGCATGATTAGGGGAAAAGCATTTACACATGGTGATCTTTTGCATGATGGGAGTAAGAGTTGAGACACATCACACAAGCGTATCTCTGTATGCCCAGGCCTGTTGCCGCATTAGCTCTACAACAAGCATCAATTGACAGAGGTTAGTTGTAGCAATGATCACTGTACCCTTGCAATCTCAGACAAAAAGTAATTTACTTATTTATTTGAACAGAAGGAGGCACCATTTTTGCGAATTCAAACGCATTTGACATCGTCTTTCAAGTCCCGGTGAACAAATTTGCTCAGCCTGAGCAACATTGGGCACTACATGGTCATGTGAGCTTAAGTGCACTGGTACAGTAAGCAGAGTATGTAGCACAATTATGTGCCACACCACATTCAAAATCTCTAGCGATGTAACATATCCTCAATCCTAGATTGTTATAGGCCTCCAAGAAATGTGCGAGATCAGCTCAAATTTCCCACTGCCTTGGATGGGAAAGGAGCTGATATGAAGCTGCAGCTTAGCTAATGTTTGATCAGCTGCTATGATCGTCCTGTTCTCTGCAAACATAGATTCCAATGGTTGTAGCAGGTTGCAGAGAGTTGTTCTTCCAGGAGACATATTGCAAAAAATCTTAAAACCTTCAATGTCCAAGTCAGTTTTAATGGTAGCTCCGCGGGGGGATGAGTCATCAGCATCTGTAGCTGTTCGTGGTTGATCTTGCTGATCCCTGCATAATAACATGTGAATATCTTCATCCCACTACATGGACATTGCAATCTACTGCTATTATGTCCACTTTAGGCCAAAAGTATGCAGCAAGTACCTGAAAGTTTTGCAGACCTGCTGAAGCAATAAAAACCTGTATGAGATCTTCAAGCAGCCATGCTGTCCCATATCCTGTAGTTCCCTAAACTTATATCTAAAGATTCAGTTTGCATGCTATGCTCTTCAGCAACATTGCTTGCTGAATGAATAAGAATAGTGACATCAGCTCTTGACAGGTAGAACTCATCTTTTTTATGGTGACATGCTGCACTAATTAAACCCAGAAGTATAATTAGGACACATCAGCAGGCCAGCATGCAGAAACCATCATTATATCAATTCTTGGATGACATAACCACCAACTCTGGATATACTCTTCCATAGAAACAACAGAGCACATTACAAGATAACACATTCACCCGCTTACAAATGCCCACAAGAACGGGAAATTATCAATGCTTAGTGGAAAAAGCCTACAACAATACGAGAAAACAAGCACGAAAACAGCTACTCCCTCCATCCGGAAATACTTGTCATCAAAATGAATAAAAGGGGATGTATCTAGATGTATTTTAGTTATAGATACATCCCTTTTTATCCATTTTGATGACAAGTATTTTCGGACGGAGGGAGTACTAAATAGTGATATAATTCACTAAAAGGCCCTCGCAGCCTCCAATCTGGTCGCTTATCTTGTTGCTGATAGTGGCCTCATACCCTAAGCATACTCAACCATACATTGTCACTGCGCCGCATCACTGGGGATCACTCTTTCTGCAGGCGTAAATTTGTCAGTGTGATTCCAAAAAGGAGTTGGTATAATATAAATTGCCAATTAGTAAGCATAATTAGTTGTAATTACATAGCACTCAAAAGTTTGCTCGGGCACATTTCAAATATAACTTTCAATCTGATTAGGTCAATGTTTTGTTTGTTCCACTAACTATATATGGAGTATCACTTAAGAGTTCCTGAATCACAAATGAGAGGACACATAGATAAAAATATACCTTGTGGGTTGGTCCAGCTCCCCCTCGCAGGCGCGTCGCAGCCATTCTCGACGTGAACCTCTACTCCTCGCGCTACCGTCTCCATTGGGCTCAACCGGAGACGGGATTTCGTCGACACGAGGCTTGCTCTTGATGACTGATGATTTGGATGGGAGACCCACGTACATGCTCGAACAAGTCGCCGGCTACACAGACGAATACATTGTCCTGTACGGTGAATGTTTTCCTATACAAACCGGACACGGACACCACACATCGTGGTTAACTCTACAACATAGAGGATGCCAACATGTCGCAACATATATACACCGTATCGACCTACCATGCAAATCCGACTCGTTCTTCCACTCGGACAATGCGACGTTCTCAACCAACTCCAACTCCAGTGACGCGCTCTTAAGCACCACAAAACCTAAACTATTGTCAGGTTTATCACCATGACAAACGCCCAGTGTCAGTTGCTCCCTGCTTTGCGCTCTGGCTATAATGAAGGCAGATAGATGGTGATGGTGTTCTCTGAGAGCGCACAATACCATATTGGTACCAGGTGAATCAACACCACTATCAGAAAAATAAACAAGACTTTCAATCCTAACCTGCACACCTCAAAGATTTGCAGTGGCATCTGGGTATTCAGATTTTATTTTTTCATATGCCTCCCAGAATTGGGTGCTGGGTTCCATTACTAGAAAGCAAACCACTAAACAAGAAAAGGTAAAAGAGAAACAAGGCTGATACCCACCATGACAACAGAAAAAGGCAAAACAAACTCAAAATGACAAACATGCAGCGCCAAAACTCCAGGACAGACACAAAAGGGAGGATAATGACAACCCAACGGACAGCGGCTGTGAAG